CCCAACCTCCTCTCCATCTTCTTCTCCCTGCTCAGCCCCACCATCCCTTGGGTGGGGCAGGGAACCTGGAACCTCCCCCTTCTGGGGACACTCCTCCTCCCCCCTTACTCACACTCCAGGGGTCTCTTGTTCCCCACTTCCCTGTTGAAAGAAACAGGCTGAGGCAGAGAGCCCAGGCAGCACAGGGACCATGGGGGCAGTGGACGCTGGTGTGCCCTTAGGGGAGCTGTGGAAAGGCGACCCCCAGGCCAGATCCTGTCAGTGAGTCCGCCCCACCCCAGATCCCAAAGTCACCCCAAGCCAAAGGCCCCCAGTTCGCTGTGACCCCCTCCCTCACCCTTGCCTGCTGGGCAGCAGCTCAACCCCATGAGTGGACGGGGTGGACAAGACCCAGAAGCAAGGGCAGGTTGGGGAAAGAACCTTACAGGAGGGCCACGCAGCATCTCAGGGTGTCTCTGCGGGCCCAACCTGCACGCAGGCTCCTGTGTGGAGACCCCCAGACCAGCCAGTCTGCCTGGCCCAACCCTGACAGCAGGCAGCGAGGCCTCATGAAGGTTCTCTCCTGCCAGCTCCCACCCCTGACCTCGCGGGGACTCTTCTGCCCAGGAACTTAAGTGCTGGGCCAGAAACAGTGGCCTCCTCTAGCCTGGTGATTCGCCAGGGGCTCCCCAGAAAGGACTCGCGACCCCAGAGCTCAGGCTGGGTTCCATCTCTTATTCGTGTGTGATTCCGGGCGAGATTTTAACCTCACCCCCGCAGCCATCTTGGGACTATTGTGACTGGTGCAGTGTTCGCAGAGGCTTATGTGAGGATAAGTCAATGCTACCTTGTGGAGCAAAGACTGCAGGAGGCAGAACTGGGTTAAAACGCGGGCACAACCACTGCCCAGCTGTGTGACCTCTTCTCGCCTGTTTCTCAAGGACAAAAATGGGAATAATACCAACCTCAGATGGTTCTGTAAAGGTTAAATATATACCTAGGTATCCGCGGGCGTTTATCCACCCCACAGGAAATGCTCAGTAAGTGGTAGCTATATTTATGTAATGCGCCCGGCCTACTGCATCATAAACTTTCCACCATCCCTCCTCAGGGGCCTCCGGGCCGAGTGCAGGAGCACTGCGCCACCTTGTGGCCCAATGTGAGCACTACCGCTCCCCCAGGCCGGCCCCCAGCGCGCCCGCCCCAAGAAGCAAGGAGACACAGCACATCCCTGCAGGCTTGGGGCGCCACGACACAGGCCAGACATTCCTGCAAGCACTAACAGCAACTCCTTTCACTCTCAGAAATGCCCCCGTTGGGACTCACCTCCCTCCCTCCTGCTAGGAAAAATGCATGCAACTGCAAAGGCTTGTGCATCCAGAGGACTGGGTGGGTCACCCAGGACTGTCCCTGCCTCTGCACCCTATCTGGCCTGCCTGGTGGCATCACCCCTCCCCGTGCCACCCTGGCTCCACACTAGAAGTCTCCAGCAGTTCTTTCCTAGAAGCCCAAGGCGCAGCCCGCCGTGAAGTCTGCCCTCGCCTCTCGCTCTATTGCAGAATGTTCGTGATGCAACAGATTCCTAAGAGTAACCTTCTCCTCCTGGTGACAGACGCCACCTGCGACTGTAGCGTTTTCCCGCCAGTCCTGCAAGAGGCTACAGAAGTCAAATATATCCTGCTGCCCTCTAGAGCGTGCGGGCTGAGGGAGGGCGGGGCACAGCCCCGGGCATCAGCCCACGAGACTCCCTCGCCACCAGCACCCCATCCCACCCGGCAGGGCACCCTTATTTGTCCCTCCCACCTTTCCCCTAGACCCTGGGTGCCACCTTCTCCCCCACGTGCTAGGCAACTGGCTCCACGGTAGGTAGATTCTTCCAGAACTTAGCGTCCAGCCTCCAGAATCGGCTCCCGTCAGGAGGCGTTCGCCTTAACAGCGAGGCCTGCACATAACGCGTCTGTCAAGTGTGACAGGATGCGCTCCCAGAAGCTCCGCCGGAGACCAGACTCCTGCCACGCCTTCCATCCAGAGGTGGGCTGGGCCCGGGCGGGGTGGGGGGGAGGGCCAGGCTCGGGCTTCACCCCCACACCCAGCTCCCTGACTGCCTGCGCAGATCTGACCAGTCTGGACGCCCTGGCAGCTGTGGGTGTGGCTTCGCGCGCTGCCCTCAGCCCCCTGTCGTTCCAGCCCTGAGTCACCCCGATCCAAGGTGCTTCCACAGAGAACCCCATTTCTCGGGGTTTGGGCCCTTGGTGGGGGAGACTGAGCATCCCGTATTGTACTCATTGCTGCGGCCCTCAGCGCCAGAGGCTCTGGGCAAGCTGCAAGTTGCTCCAGGCATGATGCCAGCGGTGACAGACAGTTCTTGAGCTGGGTGCTTCGTGCACTGTGTCATCTTTGCTGGATGTGGCTGCCCCAGCTGACCCGCGTCAGAGATGCCCCAGAGGGCCCTCCCTGGTGGCGCAGCAGGTTAAAGCCCAGCACTAGAAGCAGCCACGGCAGCAGGAGTTCAATCCCCGGCCAGGGGGTGACCCACATGGCGCAGCAACCTCTCCTGTCTCCCGGCTGCTCCCCTCAGCATTGCACTTCACTCTGCCTCTTCTGCTCCCCACTCTCTCTAGCGGATCCTCTCATGCCCCCCCACCCTTGCATCTCTGGCCTACACCCCAGCTCTTATATGCATAAATAAATAAAGCGATCTTAAAAAAAAAAAAAAAGATGCCGTCAAAGCCAATGACTTCCCTGAGGGTATTCTGAGAACACCCCAAAGACCAGGGAAGGCTTACGCCCGTGCTCGGGCTGAGTGAGCAGCCTCCACTTCCCCTCTTTAGAGGGGATCTTCCTAGAACCTCACTGTTCCTCGCAGAGACCCCGAGGTGCTCCTCTGGCTGGGAGCCACCCCGTGTTGAACGCTGCCTCTCTCCCCCATCTGGGTCCACAGGAGAACGCCCAGGACTGCGGCGGCGCCTCAGACACCCCAGCTTCGCTGCCCCTGCTCCTGCTGCTGCTGGGCGCCAGGGCTGCTGCCTGACAAGGTGACCCTCCGGGGCATTCTGGAGTCACGCACCGTGTGCTGCCCAGCTTTGCGCTCTGAACGTGTTAGATGAAACCAGAAACTATTTTCCAAGAAGCGTCCCCGGTGCAAAGTCGCAAAGGCACCCCGTCATTTCTTACCTCCTCTACAGGAGCCCAGCACCAGCTCGATTAGGATCAAGAGCAAAGTGTAGCGGGGCCGCCCTGGTGGCACAAGGGGTTAAGTCGCAGCACTGTGAAGCTGTCCCCAGCCCAGGCCGCTGTGGCAGGAGTTGGATCTCGGCCATGGAGTGACCCACAGGGCGCGGCAGACCTCTCCTGTCTCCCCGCTGCTCCCCTCAGCAGTGTATTTCAGTCAGTCTGCTTGTTCTGCTCCCCGCTCTGACTCTGGTGAGTTCTCTCACCGCCCCCACCGCCACCACTCCCCCCACCTCTGGCCTGCACCCCAGCTTGTGTACGCACAAATAAATAAATTAAAAACAAAAGAGTTTCACTCCACCTATTCTCCAGGAATCAGCCCATCAAAGAAAGGGTCAGCTTTTCTATGAACCTGGTTGGTGTTGTGTAAAACCCACAGTCTTAAAAAGAGGCACAGAATGAAACTGATAGCAGAAATGAGGTGAACATACCTCCTTAAACAGGACTAAAAATGAGATTCATGGTGGAGTCTAACCCAATTTCCTAACAGCTGTTCAAAAATGTTCTGATTTGGGGGACAGGGGAGCTGCGGAGGGAGGGGGAGGGAGGAAGGCAGGGAAGTCACAGTAACGTGGCCATGGAAGAAACCCAGAACGGAAGCAGGTCTTAAAGTCCTCTTACATCAGCATGGCTGTGCATCATGTCCACAAACTGTTGCTATTCAAAATCTTCCAAAAACATCTTTGCAAAGCCCTAATGCCACTTTGCAAAGCCTTGCATTTTGCATCTCTCTAAGGGAAAGTCAGTAGCCTGAACTTTTGAGGCTGAAAATGCCAGGAGCTGGGGGGGGGAAGGGTGGCTACTGCCTGGCAAAGGCCTAGAAAAGACCAGTCTCCCTGGCAGCTTGATGAGGTCTCCCAGCACCAGCCAGTGCCATTCTCCCCAGAGGTCCAGGCCCCACGATGGTATTTTTCTGCTGCTGTTCTAGAAAACAGACTACCTGACTGTGTCCCGGGGTTGGAGATTTCTGGAACACTCCAAAAGGAACTATTTCTGGGCACTGCATTATCCACAGGCGCTCCTCCCCCACGCGTCCAGCACCCCACCCCCTCAGGCCTGGCTCCCAGGAGGCAGCATTCTCTACTGTGATGGCAACCTCAGGGGCAGAACTGCACAGAGACTCTGAAGCGGCCTCCGATCTGTAAGTTTCAGGCACCTGCAGTGGGGAGGTCCAGGCCTGCCCGTGGGATAGGCACACACAGGGCCCAGCACCCTGTGGACCTTCTTCTGGACCCCACACTTCAAAGCACAAAGCTGCCTCAGCTCCCACCAGCAAAGAGTCCCCACCTGCCTCTGGAAGAGACCAGCGTTATCAAACATTCATCAGTCTGGAAGCACCTGCATTATGGGCGACACGTTTCCCCCATCATGTAATCCTCACAATTCTGTGAAGTGGGCGTTAACTGGCCCTGTTTAATAGCTGAAGAAATGGAGCTTCAGAGCAGGTAAGGCTTTGGCTCGAGCTCACTCAACCAGCTTAAGCAGCAGAATGATGCTGGGATAATAAGGACTATTTGTACCAGCTAAGAACAGCCATGACCTCACTGAGCCCTCATCACAGCCCGCTGAAGGGACCTACCGACTGTTGTTACCTCCACAGAGCAGGAAGCTGAGGCCTGGAGTTGAAAACTGAGTTCGAATTACTGGAATAACATCCAGGTTTGAATGTGATATTCATATGATGTGCGTATAACTGCCCAGCATGTAGTCAGTGTGACTCCGTGTTAACTGCCATAGTGGCGTTTCCTGTGATGGAGCTGGGGAGGAAGCCATCATGGTGCAAGCAAGGAGAGGACAGCGGCAAGGAGCCCCTTCTCCCCTTCTCCCCTTCTCCATTTCCTTGGCAGCCTGCCAGAGCACCCCATGTGGTGCCTGCCCACTGTGAGGTTTGGCCTGCACTTCCTAACCCCTGCGCAGCGCCTCCCGGCTAGGGCCCAGGGCACCTCAGGCACTGGCGAGTGTTCTGGCCTCCAACAGCATCTGACTGCAACTCCAGCCTCCCAGACACGGCTGCCAGGCCAACAGTCAGCATTGTGTTTTGAAAGGTTCCTCTGCTCCATGCAACCAGCGAGGGCGTTTTCAAGCAAATATATGAACTATTCTGGCCACTTTAAAAATCAAGCTCAGGGGGCCCTCCCTGGTGGCGCGACAGGTTAGGACGCAGCTCTGCAAGCTGGATGCAGCCACCTCGGTGCGAGTTCAATCCCCAGCCCGGGAGGTGACCACATGGCGCGGCAGACCTCTCCTGACCCGCCTGCTGCTCCCCTCAGCAGTGTACTTCGTTGATCTGCCTGTTCTGCTCCCCACTCTGTCTCTGGTGAAGCCTCTCGCCATCCCTGAGCCTCTGGCCTGTACCCCAGTTCTATATGCATAAATTTTTCCAAAAATCCAGCTTTGGAAGATTTGGGCTGCTCCTGGTCTTCTTGTCAGTTTCACCCTTGTGCCCTGGCATGGGCAGGAGTGGACTCTAAGATCTGGAAACTCCTGCTGGAACGGTGGAATTAAAAAAAAAAAAAAAAAAACTTCTGTCAAATTAACCTGCTCTTTACAGAATAGTCTGGGGAGTTTGCTTTTGGAGGTCAGACAGAACTGTTATATTTCTCCTCTTTCTACTTTTTTTTTTTTTTAAAGATTTATTTATTTGTACATACAGAACCAGGGTACAGGCTAGAGGCTCAGGGGTGGTGAGAGGCTTCACCAGAGACAGAGCGGGGAGCAGAACAGGCCGAACGACAAAGTACACAGCTGAGGGGAGCAGCGGGCGGGTCAGGAGAGGTCTGCCACGCCATGTGGTCCCCCCCGGGGCAGGCGGGAATCCAACTCATGCGGAAGTGGCTTTAGCTTCTCAGTGCAGTGCTTTAACCCACTGCGCCACAAGGGAAGGCCCTCTCCTCTTTCTACTTTTTACAGAACCAGTAAAGGACAGCAGGTGGCAGCCTGGCTCAAACTAAAGTCAACACCTTAATTTCAGAGCAGAAAGTCATTAATAACGAGTTTAGGGGACAGACTGTTGAAATCCATTATCAATGTTGCGCACCTTTAAGTGATCAAAAACTCAAGGCTGCTGTCAGACCCTTTTCCTCAGCCCCAGGGATAAATGATCAAATCCACCAAGTGATAGTATTTTAATGACATGCTGCCAGGTGAAATGCTTCAACCACTTTGTGATGCTAAGTGAAGTCTGGCTTCTAGAAGGCAAAGGAGTGGTAATACATTAAAGTCTAAAATGTAAATATGGGAGAAGGGTTCACAGACCACACACACACAAAATTAGAGCAAGAGTTTATCAGAAACTTAAACATTTGGGTTGAGAAACAGGGATTCACTGCATCCCAGCGGAGAATGCAAGGTCTATTGATTGACTCCATTTTACAGGTGAGAAGACTGAGGTGAGGCAGACACAGGATGGGCCTTCCTGTTTCCTCAGCTGTGTAGCTGGCTCAGGGGTGGGGCCTCTGAGTGGACAACAGGTTTCCATGTCACCTAACAGGAACCTTGGTTTGCCCCCCTCCAGCTCTGTGCCATCACCGGCAGACTGTAGAGAGTTAAACTGAACTTGTTTTCACCAAGTAACAGAATGGACAGCAGGAAAAAAATTTCATCCATTTGGAAAACAATTCATGCCCACCCACACACCAAGGGAAGGAAAACACAAAACTTGCTACAATTGAAGCAAAGTATTCTAGAAACAAGAATTTTGTATCTGGAATAATTTTGATGGAACCAACCAACCCCTGATGTTCTGTAAAACCGTAAGTCAAACCAGTCCTCATCTGCTTCCTTTACAAAATCCAAACACACCTTCTAGGTGAGGGAGAAGAGGGAGGGAAGAGAGACGCCTTTTAGAAAACAAATAACCTCTGTTTGTTTTTAATCAAGAGCAGGTTGTGACCCAGTCTTTTATACTCCTATCTGGAGAAAACCTAAAGTCATTATCTACACTTAAAACTGAGCATTCGAAAATGGATGTATTCCCCAACTTCTGGACACGACCCTCAAAAAGGCATTTTTGGATAGAGCAAAAAGGATGGGGTAAATAAGCCAGAAAGAAAAAGAAAAATACTGGATGGTTTCACTCATAGCAGGAGATGGGGGGAGGGGTGGTTAATAATAATGAACAATACCAGAGATATTTTACAGGGGTGGAGTGGGGAATGGGATCAAAAATGGGAGGGGGGAGTGCACTGGACTGTGGTGGGGCACACGGGTGATTTGGTGATGGGAAGCCCACGGGGATTACAACTGAGATGGAAAAATATACTTGATATTAACAACAACAACAACAAAAAAGATGGAGTTTCCTCTACTCTCTCACATAACAGAATTAACAAAAACCCAAAGGCCCTTAAATCAATATGCAGAAATTACTGGACTTTCCTTCATAGTGCTGACTTCACATTTCTAAGCGTTTCCTACACTATAAAAAGAATGAAATAATACTGATCAGTCAGCGGTGTGGTCATGATTATATGAACCATAGAGTCCTTTAACGGATCCCCTTGCACACAGTGCTCATTGTATCATTTTAAATAAAATTTACTAAGGGACCCTCCCTGGTGGCGCAGTGGGTTAGGAGACAGCTCTGTGAGCTGGCCGCAGCTGCTTCAGTGCCAGTTGGATCCCGCCTGAGGTGACCCCCATGACACGGCAACCCGCCTGCTGCCCCCCAGCAGTGTACTTCGTCCATACGCCTGTTCTGCTCCCCACTCTCTCTCTGGTGAATCCGCTCACCCCTCCTGCACCTCTGGCTTGTACCCAGGTCTGTATGCATAAATCTTAAATAATTAAAATTTACTAAGAACTGCCCCTGAAGAGTTAGCTCTCCCCTTTCACTCAACCTAGTACTGTGACGCAAGCATAAGACAAACTGGAGGTAAAAGGTGGGCATAAGCACTTTGATCTGTGCATTCATTATCGGGGAGCCTCTGAACCTTCCTCAAGCTTCATCGTCTAGACAAAGGCTTCAAGCCAGATGTGCCAAAAAGCCACGGGGAGGTGAGCCGAGGCAGTGAAGAAAAACATACAGTCGAAGTTTATATGCCATTTGGTTCCTTTTATTAGAAGTTGAGAATACAGCAAGTAGGGAAATCCCAAGGTGAATGGAGCCATCACACCAATGCCTTTTGTGGAACCCCAACCTTCCATGATCCCCCAAAAATGTGCTTTGTGGCTTCAGCAATTTATAAAGTGGGAAGGGAAAAAATACTGAGAAAGGCCACTATTTAATGGTGAAAGAATGAAGCTATAGAGGTCCTCATCAGCCTAGGGCCAGAAAAGAAAACTAAAAATCCGCACAGAGCAAGCAAGCCTCTGACTGCTGAGAGTAAGGCATTCAGGCGCCGACCTGGAGAGTTCTCAGGAGCACTGTGAGACCAAGTGCACATCGAGGCTGGTGGTGGTGCGTTGCAGACACACATATAAATGGGCGCACACATGCTCCCCACACACACACCAAAGACGGAGATTTTTTACTGGATCACACATCATTGATGTTAACTGCATTTTCCTAGGGATTTGTGCTATGTTGAACCAGATTCGGCCCCTCCTGTGGGGTGTGGGGGACTGGGCCCAGAGACTGCTACTTCTGTTGGTGGTGTTAACAGGGTGTATCTTATACCCTAGGTCCCAAAGTGCATGACTGAAGAGCAAGTCTGGCTTCTGATATGTGCTGTTGTTTCCATGACATAAGTGAGCTTTCTTCCAGACGGCCACTGTCCTGCTGGACTATGTCTCCTCCAAGGGAGTAACACTGCTCTTATTCTGTCAGGCACTGCACCAGTTCACCCAGAGAGTCTTTTGCTGGGTCCACCTAGCACCCAGGGCAGTGACCTTATCCAGAACCAAAATACTCTTAAGCTGTTCCCAAGTTCTACAATGGAGTCCTTCTTCCTGGTTCCCAGCTTTTGCTGGAAATTGGAGAAAAAGGAGAAAAATAACCAAGAAAACTTGATACTGAATGAATAATTGACCCTCCCCATATTCCCAAACACCTGTTTGAGGATGTCAACCCCCATGCCTAGGGCTTCAGCCTTTTGTTCTACTACATCCCCCAGGCTGTAACAATCACCCAAAGGCTTGGGTGACAGTAAGAACAGAAGGCTGGAAGGTTAACTGGCCAGTTCTCCTACGAGCCAAGATCAGAATTCCGTGAACCAGATCCTTCCCCACACTATCTCTAAGGCCAGAACAGGGTAACCCTGGGACAGGACCAATCCTCTTTTTTACTTTTAGCAGTTCTTCAAAGACAGCACTCTAGGAATCTTCCAAGACTCCCTAGCAACAACAGTTTTCTCTGACAAATTCCCACCAAGCTATCCCTACACAGTGGGTTCAGATAATGGTGTTGATTCCACGGTAGGTAACAGACCCTACTTTACGGAAGCTCTGCTGGTTCTCCTGTTCAAGGGAAGGTGAGTGACTGTCACGCCAGGACTGCCACGGTAGTGTGCCAGAGCCGAAACTCGTCTTTCCTGCCCCGAGGAGGTGCTCTCACACCTGAGGGCTCCGAGGGTGCGTGGGCAGTCAGAACCTCTCCTGCCGCCACTCCAGGCTGGGCTCACGATACCAACGAAATGAAATTCTTACTCCCAGGAGGAAGAAGGGTAGTTGGGCAGTGATTTTAATAGAAGGAAATTCCCAGGGTGATCCAGAGCTCCACACAAGGATGTGGGGACTGTCACACCCCTCCAGTCGGGCAAGACTCACCACAAAACTGAACAGGACACCAGAAAGTAAGCAGATCGGCCCTTGCGCTACTATTCCCAGAACTCCTCCACCGTCTCCTCCCCGCCGCCAAGCCCCCACTCCACCAGCACCTCTGACTGCCCGAGGAGGCGGCTCTACTCCTCGGGAAGGGTCACTACCCTATAAACAGGTCACTCTCTCCAGGGACACCCTGACCAGAGTCTTCACCTAAAACATCCTGCTGGCCACTCACATGCTGCTTCCACTGAGAAAACACATGCCTCTTCCCTCCACCTCAAGACCCCCAAAGGCCCTCAGGCGTAGTGTTCACATGGTCCAAAGTACGCCGGCCTTCAGAAGGCACCTTGGTGCACCAAGGCATTATATATTCTGGGGTACACCCGATCCTCCTACAGTCACTTTGTGCAAAATTGAAACAGTGTGTGGTACTTGCATGTTTCATTCTATACAAAAATTCTCCCTCCCGCCCCTACCCCTGTTTTAAACATTTATATAAATTCTTATTTAAACAGTAAGTTAGAAATCTTATTTACATTAATTTCTGTGTTCTCCCAAAAGAACATCTAAAATCACACTCCCACCCCTTAACAGGATATAAATGTTCACCTAAATTGGTTTGTATTATTGTTCTAAGGAGAGAGAAAGAGGAACGAGCCACCGGCGGCACTGCCCGTCCCCCACACGCCACTGTGGTGTGGATCGGAAGCCAGTCTGCAGGGCTCTCGCGGGCCCCGGTCAGCAGGGCCACGAGTGCGCCAGGGCCTGGGCCTTCTCCTTTCCTCCAAACTGATGCACTCCATCCTTTGAGGTATGGTTTATTTTCGTGTTTCTCTTCTCAGCCGTGTACCACGCGGAGTTCCTGGGGCATCACAGAGCCCATGGGCTGGCGAGGTCGGGGTGCTCCTCCAGTACTGGCATCGTGGCCAGCGAGGGGGCCGGCGGCGTGCAGGGTCTGGCTCAGGGTCACAGCCCCTGACTGCTGGCAGGGCTCACAGCGCGTCCTCGTCACTGCAGCCTCCCCCAATCATGAAGCGGAATTCCTGGAGATTGGAGACACCGTGGAAGTGGACAAACGCGCCGGCAACCACAAAGATGTGAAACAGCTGATGAGAGTGAAACTGGAAACAAAAAAGGGAGGGGAGAGAAGCCCAGACATTAAGTCCGCAAAAGTGCATCAAGGGTCACTATGCTGAGCAGAGCACAGAGAATGGATGCGACACAGCTTGGACTTGAGAAGGCCTCCAATCTCGGCACGCCTGGCCTATCACATTCTGCTGAGCTGAAAACCAACTGCCCCCCAAGAAATCAAAGTCCAGCGGCTACCTCTAGGCATGAAAATGGCACGCTGAACAGGGAGTCAGCTGGTGGATGGGGGCGAATGTCCAAAGACCCTCTTGCCAACAGACCACACGCCCCAAAGAACCCCTGGAAGCTCAAGAGTGTCTGTGGTTAGGCAGGGCAGTGTCCTCCCTGTCGGTTATGGGCCTGTGAATGGTGCGCTGGAAAATCTGAAAGGGGTCAGGGAAGGAAAACCTGAAGGACTGGATAGGTCAAAACACATGGCGGTGGCTAGTTTCCTTCTGCTCTAACTTGCTAATCTAAAGCTTAAAATAGTGCCGAAGTTAGCACGGTGTTCATCTTACCGAGCTAAACTAAACTGGGGGGAGACCAATGGCAAAATGCCCCATCTATTATCTCTTGGTCTCGCATATGTTTTCCCGCTTTTCTCTTCTCTCTTAAACACAATCTAGTTATTTCAACCTCCTCCTCTAACCAAATACACATAAACACACTCAATCTCTCAATAGAAATCACTGCATTTATGACTCTGGTTAGATTTGCTGGGGTCAGCGTATCCCGTGCGGTAGCGGGTGTACGGTGCTCTCTGAGCACGGCGAAGCACCAAGTGGTGCTCAATACATGCTAGCGACTAGGGTACTGACTTGCCAGAGAAACACAACTAAGAGGGAGTCTGGGCTAGAATGAGGTCTCTCAATTGAGTCTAAAATGTTTTTGATGTCACTCCCCCATCTGCCAAGGCCCTGGCCATGTGACACGGATGTACGCACTCCGGCCATACTCACCCAGATGTCACACTTGCCGGGAAAGAAGCGCTCGGGGATGCGGGCGGCGTACAGGGCAGCTCCCGTGATGTAGAGGCTGGCCATCAGCATCAGCCAGCCGATCTGCCCGATGGTGGCAGCCTTCAGGAACCCCTCCGAGATGACATAGTGCAAGGTCGGGATGATTCCACTCAGGCCTAGGCCCAAGAACACTCCTAGGATCACAAGAAGGCACATTACCCACAGCACAGTAATTCCACATCTGCTTCGTGTTTGAAAGGCAAACTGCTGCACAGACTGTACTGCTCTGTTCTCAAAGACAAAGGCTTGGTTTAACGCGTTAGTCAAAGGGTGTGAATTATGTTGAGACAGAGACTCAAGAGAAGGACAGCACTAGGACTCTGAACCTCCCTAGATACTGTCCCTTCCTAGGGAAGATCACACTACAGAACAGTTTCACATCCATCTGAAGCAACAGAACTTCCTAGGATGGGGGACAAGAGGAAGGGGAAGGAGAGGCAGTGAGAGAGAGAAGAGATGCGTCTGAAATCATTTAGGCCAGAAACGATGGCATGCACAGGACTAGATGCAGAAGCCTGCCCGTGTCGTCTGGCAGCCCTTGCTGCCTCCAAAATCAACCACAGCCGTGTTTTCAAACTTCTGTCTAAGATCAGCTAAGTGAGTCGGGACCAGCACTTTTTTAATTAACTAGGATAAAATAAAATACCTCAGACTATGCCACAGGTAGAGAGTTAAGTTCTAATTTGTCTAACTTTATAATTTATACATATGTGAATGTGTGTTCAAGGCTTTAACAGAAAATGTCCTGAAGTCTGAAGGTCACTCATCTGACACCACTTTGAAATCTGTGTGTCACCCAAGCAACAGAGGGAGAACTCCTCACAGTAGCCAGTGACTGCTCTTCCACTGTGACACAAACTTTGCCACGAACTGTGCCACAAGCAATTTTAACGCAGCCCCTTGGAAAGCTTTTTCTCTGGTGCTCGCTTTGGACATGGCCACACGGGCCGCTGGCACGCAGCGACGAGAGCATGCGCGGGCGCGCACAAATTCACCATTAAACAGTCATCTGCAAAGGAGCAAGAAAGTGACAGTGCTGATCTCACTGAGGAAACCAAGGAGGCCTAAGTAAAGACCAGCTCCCACTTCTAGCCCCATAATCATGACCCTGCTCTCCTTCTCCTCTATGAGCTCAGCTAAGGCTGCTGACGGTTTTGCCTGCCCCAGGGCAGACGCTCAGCAACCCGGGGCTTCTGAAGTGCAGAAAGAGCAGCATGCACAGCCCCACTCGGCAGACGCTGCTGCACCGCACGCTCAAGCGGCTGAACACCACCGCTGAGTCAGTCCTGACCACTGCTCTCTGCTCTCTCGCACATCAACAGAGTGTCAGAACGGTGGTTATTAACAGGAAGGTAACTGCTAGCCTCCAGGAAACTGCAGATAAGCCACAGCTTGGATTTCTAACACTATGTGGTTTTCCAAAAAGATCAAGAAAAATATTTTTAATAGTTTTTGCTCATTCTCATTGACACTGGGATTGATAATGGGGAAAGAAAATTGAAGGCACAGCCCAGCTACAAGGAGCCGCCAGTACAGAGGAAGACAAGAGTATCTCTCATTAGCTTTGTACTAACAGGAAGTTCTGGAGTTCTGGAGTTCTGGCTTTCTGTAGTACCTCCAGCTAAACAGGTACTGACCTGAATATAAAAAGCCTCTTTATACCTACAGCAGGTGTCTGCACTAGGACACAACTGTTATGGAGTGAAATTTTATTTAACTAAGCAGATTACATATTTAAAATAAAAACAATAAATCAAAAGACAATAGCAACAAAACCCTAGTCACTACAAAAAAACCACACTGCCAGATGAGCGAAAAGGAGTGACTATTTTACAAAGGCTGAAAGCACTGGCCATGGAAGCATATAGCCAAACACTCAACCATACAGCCTGATACACACCAGCTCACAGAGCTCACCACTGCCCCTCCAAGGCTACGCTAATAATGCACAGAGCTATAGGAAAGGCCCTGAAGAACAGGCACTCCCAATGATTCATCCCAGTACAACACGTGACAGTGGCAGGTGGCAGGCCTTTAGTAAGGGACTGGCAAACAAGCGATGTCCGTGTAAAGCCTCACGTGCTCTTACCTGCTCTTACTCCTCGATATTGAGGGGTGGCGAACATGTCCCACTGGGAGACTATAATGGCTGCGATGCCCAGCACACAGATGACAATCAAGTAAATGAAGCAAGGTTGTGGATTACAGTAGAAAGAATAATAAAGCCAAGGGACAAAACTTCCCATAATCAGAAGAGCAATCCCAGAGTAATCCAGTCTAGGGTAAAAAAAAAAATCCATTTAATTTTAAAAATCACTGCCCACTATAAGTTCCAATGAATCTCCCATTACATGAGCTGACATTATAGCTGAAATGCAAACTGAGATGCTTGCTTTAATTAAAAAACAAAAGTTCCCAGCAGATGGTATCAAGAATTCTGCCAATTCCGCTTGGTGTTCCCCACCCCACCAGCTCTAAATCACTGATCACAGCACGAACTTTAAATATACTTACTTTGAGAAGAGCCGGGAAACTCCTTCTGAGTGGCAGTAGACTGTGTGGAAGAGCCATGAAAAAGAAAGGCAGAGAATGGCCCCCAAGAAGAATAATCCAAAGACCACCTTCTCTTGCAGAGGGGCCACAAAGGAGATGTTCGGGCGAAACATATAAAAGATCCCCAGGCACAAGAAGAATACACAACCTAAGAAAAGAATACAGGAGAAAGAAAAAAGGTTATCTGTTTAAAGAGATAGTATTTTTATGTTGATTTTGTTTTCCATCTTTCACAATCACAATTACATCAGAATTGAAAGTTCCATAAGAAAAAGTGTCTTGGCAACGAGAACCAAAATTTTGGTCCACTTTATAAACACTGCTGGCATCGTAAATCTCTCAGTTCACAAGCATATTATATTCATGAACATAACATCTAAGAGATAACCAAAAAAACCAATCTACTTCTTAGAAGACTTAAATTAGCCCACTTCTACCTCTGGGTCCAGCATGAAAGTGCATTTGTAAAGTTGTTGGCACACATATCCTAGCCCAATTTTGTTCAAAGGTACATTTTTTTGTATCTGCTTTTGCTATGAATTCCGGTAACTTCAAATCCTGCAGGAAATACAGTTTTCCTGTAGCAATAGCTAGCAATGCACAGTATGCTTCCCTGGTCCAATATATTCAAGAGCTAAGACAATAAAATGCTTGTTCAGACTATTTCATAGCCATAATGGTATCCACTGTTCTTCTCCACAGTGAGGTACCATGTTCTCAGTGCATAGGGAAGGACCACTTACAAGGGCAATTAAACATTTGCTAAGTGATTCTGTTTGATCCACTTAGTAAAACATTTACCTTTGAGTCAGAAATCAGCAAAGAACTTGATTTGATGCACTAATCTACACTAACTATACTAGCAGGCAGGCGCTTGGGCACAGAAGAAATCCAATGTGTGATAAGAAATGCAAGCCAGGTGAGCCCTGGAACTATTATATCCACAAGGTTGTGCAGTCGTTGCCACTATTAAATTCCACAACATTTTCATCACCTCTAAAAGAAACAAACCCTACAGCTGTCACAGCCACCTCCCATTCCCCACCCCTGCAGCCCTAGACATCTACCAACCTACTTCTGTCTCCATGGATTTGCACTCAGGGAGCCTCATGTATACAAATGATACAATATGTGGCCTTTTGTGTCTAGCTCCTCTATCATGATTTCAAGGCTCACCCATGTATCAATGCCTCATCCCTTTTTAAAGCCAAGTAACTATCCTTTCATGGATATATTATATTTTATTTAGCAATTGACAGATACTTGTTTGGGTTATTTCCACATTTTAGCTATTATGTATAATGTTACTAAAAAAACATGCATGAATACATTTTTGTGTGACCATGTTTTCGAGTCTCCTGAGAGCTGGAAGAGTAAAACTACTGGTAACTTTAACTTTCTGAGTAACTGTTTCCCATATGGCTACACCATTTTACATTCCTACCAGCAACACAATCAGAATTCCAATTTTTCTACATCCTCTTTAAGATTTACCACTTTGCATTTTCTTGACCATAGCCATCCTAGTGAGACAGGAATGGTACCTCGTTGAATTTCTCAAGGTATTACTTCCCAAAATGATTGATGACATTAAGCATCTTTTCACATGTTTAGTGGTCAACTGTTAATCCTTTTGGGAGAAATGTTTATTAAGATGCTTTTTACCCTTTTTGAAAATTAGGTTGTCTTTTTATTGGTGAGTTCTAAGAGTCCTTTACTAGGTCCTAATCAGATAAATGATCTGCAAATATTTCCTTCCTCTCTACCTTTTCACATTCTTGGTAATGTTCTTTCACATGCAAGTCTTTTAGTTTGATGAAACTTAATTATCTTTTTTTCTTTTGGATGCTTATACTTTTAGGCGTGAATTCTAAAAAACTGTCACCTAATCCAAGGTCACAAAGATTTACATTTATTTTTTCTCTGAATGTTTTTAGAGTTTTAGCTCTTCTGTTTAATATTTGATCATTCTGAATTAACTGTTGTGTATGGTGTAAGGTAAGGGTTCAAATTGATTCCTTTACATGTGGTTACTCAGTTTTTCTCAAAGTCCTATGCTTTCTCCCATTGTATTCTTTCTCTAATATGGGGAAATATGACTGAATATAAAATATTACAGACTAAAGTCTCTTCAGGCCAAAAGGAAATTTAACTGTGAATATAAGTCATGACTTTGAAAAATCAGCTTACAACAAATAACTCCTTTCTTTCAGCATTCATTAAGATACTGCACCACATTTTGTACTGCAAATTTTCTTGACCTGATTCAAGGACATTGCCTGAAACTCTAGCTATGATAATACCACAAGCAAACCAGTATAACCAGAGAGTGAGTAAGTGAGAAACTGTATCATTAGGACACACACACACAAAAAAATGAACTGGGGTTTGTCATTTTAAAGTTCTATCTTTACCCTTGAACACCTGAAGATTTCATTACACCATTGATACTACATACCTAAGAGATGCGTCCAGATGTTGCCTGTCTCCGTGTGTATTCGGAAAATGCTCTTAAAACAGGCCCGGAAAGAAGGCATAGGGGGCCGGTGTCCATGTAAAAGAAAATCGTTATCCTTGAGCCAGTCTGGTAGCACATCATGAGGGATTACTCGCCATCGACCTTCCCAGACCTGGAAGAATATCATCAAATGCCTTTGTGGTTTCAACTGTTAGTTCAGTAACACTGGTTCCAAATACTTGTTTACTGCACTGTTTTACCAGGAGAAATATGACTTATTTTTAAAATAACAAATGCATTCAAAATGCATTATGTCCTATATTCTGATTTTAAAAAATAGAATACTGAAAGGTATTTTTTGAATGAAGAAATTTTTTTCCAGAAAAAGAAAAGTAAATGAATGTATACCATAAATGAGTAGTTTCAAGTTTCGAGTCTGTTTAAAGGTAGGGTGTAAGGCCCCAAATCCCACTCAAACAGATCCTCCACAACAGACTGCACCTAGTCTGGAAAATTCCATGTTAAATAGGACTACTTTCATATGTCACATTCCTCTTGGTGAAAAATAACTATATAAAATAGCACCTTTGTGCCTTTTGACAAAATCTAAATCTCTCCCCCAGTCGTTTCTCTTTCTACCACAACAAATATAATGAAGTAGAAAAAGAAGAGCTTAGTAGTCAGAAAATCTTGAATCTCTGCAACTAACTAGTTGTGCCAGCTTTAGCCACAAAATCTCCAAGCCTCAGTTTCCTCATGTATGAAATGAGGGTAACAGTGCTTTGATTACTTTGCAAGATGAGGACAAATGAAATGACACAAAGGACTTCATCAAAGTGCAAACCCTGGCAGCCACCACAAAGGTGTATGCAATTCTATCACTTGTCTGAGAGTCAGTGACTAATCTGCCCTCCTCAGGCTGAAGAGATGGTAAAGAAACGCAGCCTGAACTGACCTTCAGGTCCCTTCAACCCCCTTTTCACCCTTGTCCTCAGCCCCTTCCCCATGAGACCCTAAAAGAGGTAAAAAGTTTGATGACCCTTAAAATGTTAGTCTTTCTTTCTATACTTCCTCTTTTAATATTCTCAGTTCAACATAAAAATCACCAAATTCTAAATCAACTTGTTCTGTGCTAGCCAGAAGGATGTGGGGGGAAAAAAGCCAGACGTATGCGCGTCAGCTTTAGACAATGGCAAGGTTCGTGTGACCAGCACCATGGCTACCACCAAGCGGAGGTTAAGACAAGCTCACTGTCAATGCGGTGTCCGTTCCTTAGCTCCACAGCATTTCCCTGTTCTCTATGTTTCCTAACTCGTCCGTACTGACATTTATAAAAGAAGTGATCCTCTGTGCAACTCCAAAGGAAATGAGGACTAACAGTTCAAGAACAGAAGTGGCCCTCTTAACACTCTCAATAAACTCACTCGTTCTGTATCTTCCTGTTTCTCCTCTACTCATCCAACTCAAAATCTGAGGCTTGCAGTTACTAGTGCTACCCTGGCCATTCCATGCTTATTCCTAACATACAAGAAATAAAATAATGGATAGAGACTGGTCTGTACTTTTTTTTAAAAAAAAAATGTATTTATCAGCCCTCCCTGGTGGTGCAGCAGGTTGAAAAGCACAGCACAAAGAAGCTTAAGCCACTTCCGCATGAGTTCAATCCCCGCCTGCCCCGGAGGAGATCCACATGGCCAGGCAGACCTCTCCTGACCCGCC